ACATGGCCCAGGAGTGGTCGAGAACGGTCAGTTGAGAGGGGAGTTTGGCGTTATAACAATATTAGTGTCACATTTATTGACGAAATTCGTAACTGTTTTACTGAATGCAAGATCTCGCCAATTTTTTTTTTTTTTTTTTTTTTTTTTTTTTTTTGACTTTATTTCCTTTCTAGGGTAGCGTCTTAAATTGATATGATTTTGGGTTATTTCGCCTGGAATTTCAATTTTCGGCTGGAATCAACTTTTTCGAGCTCATTAGTTAACAGCAAAGTTTAGTTAGCAACTACATTACAGAAGGGAATAAAGAAGATACATACATGTATCCCTGCTATCCTGCTTTTTGTACTATTGGAAAAAGTAATATGCGAATAGTTATAATCATAAGTTTATTTCACACCACGCCACTTATGCTGGATCGATTTCGCACTTGACTTTTTGAAGTACCATAAAGATCGAGCTAAAATCTGGATTCTTCAGCGTTATTTATTATATTCTCAAAGTTTTGAAAAGTATGCTTATGAAGCTAGGGTAGTGTAGGATTGTCTGAAACCTCTGCGTCACTGAGAGAGACTCCTACGCAGGGGCACATTTATACGACTGTAGTCTTGTAATGTATTAGAAAAAGTTTTATGTGGATTAACTAGACAAACGAAAAAGAATCTAAAAATATGATTTAGGAATACGAATGAGACATGTCACACGCAGCGTCTAGCAAGCCATACACGAATTTGAATTTAATTGATTTTAGTATTGTAGAATAAGATATTCAATTCAATTCTTTATTAATAAAATATAAGCATCACAGTATACACCAAATCGCTTATATCTATGCTAATTTTAACAAACATAAACTAAATACTATTACAATTTTAAAACTCAGACCATCAAAAAGAAACAACATAAAATTTGTAAACAAAAACAACCTTACATCAACTTAGGAACTATAAAATTACTCTTTAAAATTTAGATATGTATAAATATGTTTTAAAATTATGCTTTGGGAGTCGAAAAATATATCTGCATCTGGACTATACTGAAGGAACTCATTGATAAGCCTAATTGCTATAGCAGTGGGGCTATGGTCAGCCTGGGGAGAGCGCCACGTAGGCGGACAGCACAGGAGTCTATGTTGTCGTCTTCCAACGGCACGCATATATTGGTCGGGAACATAAAAATGTAATGTTTCCCGTACAACAGGGCTATCTACCTTATTCGCCAGTATCAAACAATAATGCATTATATGTGTAGATTCCCGTCTGAGTTGAAGTGTATCTAAACCCACCATTCCTGACACAAACAGTGAAGGATAGATAGAGAAAGGGGTAGTATCCATACTGACGCTTATATAGGTATCTACAGAATTTACGTTGAATTTTTTCTATCATAATATTATACAACGACTCCCGTGGACCCCAGACTATTGCATTATATTCTAATTTACTACGCACATAAGTATTGTATATTTGCATTATAACTTGAGTGTTCTTAAATTGTGAAGATATTCTGATGATGAAACCAAGGCATTTATTAGCGTCTTTGCATATTTTAAGTATCTGGTCATGAAAATTTAATTTGTTATCCATTGTTACTCCCAAATCCTTGATTGAGGGAACACGTTCCATTGGGGCGCCTGCAAGATGATATGTATTTGTAATCGGATTACGGGATCGAGAAAAAGTAATAGTTTTACATTTGGAATTATTAAATGATAACTTGTTTTTTAGACTCCACTCAACTACAGCGTCAATATCATGTTGTAGGGCCAAACAATCCTTAGCTTCATTTACAGAAAGGTACAGTTTGAGATCATCGGCAAACATCAGACATTTTGCATTTAATATAACATTAGGTAAATCATTGATCATTATCAGAAATTGCATAGGACCTAAGGTACTACCCTGACTGACCCCTGATCGAGTATAATATTCTTCCGATTTATATCCTTTTACCTTAACAAACTGCTTACGATCTTTTAAGTAATCTGCCATAAATTTTAATAGAGAAGTTGAAAAGCCCAATACAGAAAATTTGTTTAAAAGTACATCATTATCGACGAGATCAAACGCTTTTTTAAAATCAAAGTATGCGGCGTCTACTTGACAGCCAGACTTAACTCTAGTATTTATAAAATCTACAAATTCTAAATGATTAGTTAACGTGGAGCGTCCAGGACGAAACCCATGCTGGCAATCATTCAATTGTCCCTTTATTTGTTTATAAATGGCGTTATTGAGGACAGATTCAAATATCTTTCCAAATACACACAATACAGCATATATGACCGCGCCAATATCGGTTTGCGTATATCGGTTACCACATACGTCAGTTGATGAACCTATTTTATTGGCCTGTCCAATCAGGGGATGGTCATGAGGATAGCAACCCTGGCCTCTTTGAACTACTTCAGTGTCAGTCACCTTTGCATTCAATCTTGCATTGCAAAAAAAAACACATTCTTTACAAAAATACTTCATAAAAGTAAAGGCTAAAAAGTTCATTCACAATGCATGATGAAACTGAACTTTCACGAGGGGACTAATAATAATTATTAATTTCTGTAAAAACCCGAGCAAACAATAGGTTAAAGTTAAAAAATTTGCACATTTTTTAATTTATTCTTAATTTTGAACAATAGTCTGTCAAAACACTGCTGTCGAAAAAAAAAAACTGGTCAGGTACGAGTCGAACTCGTGATCTTAATTTTCAACTTTTTTATTCCTTAGGAATTAGTCCTTTTTTTGTGCTGTAAGACGTTTCTTTTTGCCAAATTTCGTAATTCTAGGTCAACGGGAACTACCATATAGGTTTACGACCCAAAACCTATAGGGTACCGGTTGACCTAGAATTGTCAATTTTGGTTAAAAGCAAGGCAACACAAGTAAAGAGAAAATTCTGAAAAATAATAAAAGTTGAAAATTAAGGTAAATTTTGGTACTAACAAGTTTTCGCGAAAATCGAAATTTGCCCATATCTTTTTATCGTGTTACTCAGGACCTTGATTTTTATACACCTAATAGGGACCATAGACCTCAGTATCTAGTATAAATTTCAACTTGCTAGGTCTAATCATTCCTGAGAAAATCGGTGGTGACACACGGACAGACGGACAGACAGACAAGAAAGTAATCTTATAAGGGTTCCCTTTTTTAACTTTTGTGGTACGGAACCCTAAATATTACATTAACTTCAATACATTTTGTGTAATACAATTGTATTTAATTCCTATCTCATATTTATGCAAATAAATTATTGTTGCTAGCAAAAGTATTTTTAAATCCAGACAAAATAATTCCACACTGAATTACAATGTACTGTAAAAGTACAGTGTCTGAAATAATTCATTATAACAGTATGTGCTTTTTTCTGTTGTGTCAAAGAGATGTAATTCAGGATCAACAGCCAACCTTGTAACTGTAAAACATCTTAATAGAAAGTGTCCTATCTGTGTTTAAAAATAATAATTTTCAAATTTCTTTAACATTGTTTCCTATTTATATGTAAAAAGATTTAAGGAAGTAGTGGTTAATTATTGAAGGTTACAAAACATTGTATTATCGCTTGCAGGATATTACAGACATTAAATTGTGCCTGTTGTGAGTTGATAGATAAAATTAGTATTTATATATTTGATATATATATAGTTCAAAATATATATATTGACTGCACGGATGGCATAGTGGTTTAAGCGGTCGCCACGCCGTTTCCTACTACGACGACGACACTTTGTGTGATCCACAAATAGTTGTTCTGAGTCTGGGTGTTCTTTGTGTCCATTTCATGTATGTTTATAAAGTCCCCCGCGACACAGGATACATTCCTAATGCAGGAATTGTTTTTAGAAAAAAAATTATTATAATATAGATAGTTTCCCTTACAATTCCCTGATTATTGAGTAAGACAAATATAAATTCATGTAAAAAATATTTGGATTTAAAATACAAGACAATATTTCAGCATCATCAACAGCCTATAATAGTCCACTGCTGGACATATGACTCTCCTTAAAAATGAGGTTTTGGCCTACTATAACACGCTGGCCAGACGGGTTGGTCTAGGGTTTGTTTCAAGTTTTCTTTCTCTTTGCAGTGCTGTTGTCCTGCATAGTTTACTCCTTTATATGGATCTTACAACACCCAAGGGATGAATAGGGGTGGTGATACTTTGTATTCTTAATCCGTCACCCACGGCTATAGGCAATATGTACAGGATAATAACTATCAATCACACCAGGTATTGGATTTTCATTCAAGCTAAGCCATAATGATTAGTGACCCTGAGGTTTTGGGTTCAATTCCCACACAGGACAAATAATTTTGTTAAGAATTGTGTATAATATATATGTATTTTAAATATTATTCATACTATGGTTGCCTTTGCTTAGATTGGAATCAAATGGCAGTGTGTGCAGTGTTAAGTTATTATAGTATTAATGACACATACTTCTTGTAGTAGCACATTATAGGAACATTTTGTTTTATTTAATTATTGTACCTATATACATGTACCTATGTATTGACTTAATATTTCTACATTTAAAGTCAATATGGTTTACATTTAGGACATGCTTCAAACTTTGTTCACTTAAACTTAGATTTTTTTTATAATCATCACTTTCCATTTGTTTTCCAATAAATATTTTAACTAACCTTGACAGTAATCTTAATACCTCAAATTAACATAAATATTTAATTATGTACTTTAAAGAACCATAGTATAAATACAATAGGAAATAATTTCAAAATCAACTGTCTACTTGTAAAACTGAATATAAATAGTTATATTTTGCTAAAAATATCTATCAATTTGAATTGATGTAATAGACAAAATTGTGACATAGTCAAAGACAAAAGTAGAGTATTCTAAATTCAACTTAAGAACTGCTTTTTGAGATTGGTGTTTATTAATTTGTAGACGATTACAAAATTGGCGCCAGTTGTCGATTTGTTTTTAAAAAAAGTGCAATAATTGTGACTATAAATGATTACTGTCTTTTCACTTACCTTAAGTTTTAGCAAATCTATATCACCCTCCAATGCCAACTTGAGGCGTTTCCAATCGAAAGTCGAGCTTTTTCTATACACATCCAAAGGTCCACTTGGAACATCGGGGACGAAACTCAAGTCCTCCATACTAAAACACAATATCACATTTTAATTCAGACAACTAATAACGCCTATGAATGCCCAACCAATTTTATTACACCGGATGACTAACTAACAGGGACATTTTAAATTCCCTCGCAGACATAAATTCAAGGTCTACGATAAAACAGCAGAACTAGTCGGGCGTGCTGTGATTATACCGAACTCTCACCTTGACTATGAATGAGGGAGTGCAAAAAACTTGCGTGAATTGTTAAGGCGTCCGATACCTAGGTGTAACAGCCACCACTGATAATTTCCGTGGAGGTTTTAAAGAGGGAAAGCGTCTGATAACGTAAACGCGGCGCACGCTGTTATATTGGGCGCACTGCTCACACACGTCACGTCACATCGGATGATTACAGATCTGTCACTGTCATGTCACCGTCAATAATTGTCTGGTGTCAAAATGACATTACAGATGGAGTAAAATTTTAATTGCGTTATTTTTTAAGTTCTCAAATCAATAAAAAACGGAATCTATTTCATTATAATCATGTCAGTTTATTTTTGGCAGCTAATTTGATTTCATTGAAATGATAAATCAGGCATTGATTAATATTTTATTTGCAATTATTGTCGATCACAAATTTTCAAACATTTCTAATAACTAAATACTAAAAAAAGGCGGTTTTTAAGGACAGATTATTTCTTTCAAAAGCCTATGCTGCCATCTGTTACGATTTTATAGAACTATCCCAGACAACAGGTTGTTCAGTAATGCTCAGGAGTTTCTTTTAAGTGAAACACAGCTCGTCTGTCGAGTCTTCACTAACAGATGGCAGCACATAACTAGCACGATTAATGAATTGTGTGATAGAGATAGATTCATAGCAAGTAGATGATTAGAATGAGACAACGATATTCACTCACACAAAAATAATATTCACACATATACATTTTTACGTTATAGACACATAAACAAGAAAAGAGAAGTTGTAAAACAACAAACTGTGTTCGCTGCTTTTCTATCAGATGTAAAATGGACGGGCGGTCGTGTCGTTGCGCGCTCGGGAACTCCGCGTGTTCGTTGTAATATCGATGTTTATTGTTTAATATTTTGACGTGAATACGAATTTTGTTTACGCGATTATACGACTACTTCGGTGTTCGGTTACCGAAGGAGATTGTGTTTAGTGCATGTGTTTTCTGTATGACGTTTGCGCTCACTTCACTTGCAGTGATTTCGCTGATAGCTCACTCACCGGTGGGTGCGCGCGTGATAAACTACGTGTTCAGTACGAAAAGAGGCGACTAATCGTCTAGTGTGAGTGTTTTACAGTAGCATCATGCTGTGTACGGTGACATAGTGAACGTTAAATAGACCCTGACCTCTGGCAATCATGTCTGGGCGATCGGATTGCAGGAAATTTGCACCAAACATCTTCAACAAGAGCAAATGCACTAATTGCTTCCGACAGAAAGAGGAGCATAGTGCTGAAGCTTTGGAATCAAATCGGGTAAGTGTGATTATCACTTGAAATCTTTGACATCGAGTTTCAACACCGTTTATTTCTAATAAACAAGACGAAATATTTGCCTGTAGGTGTGTTCGTTTACTTACGTAGCTTGAATAGTCAATACATGTGTGCGTAGGCCGAACACTCTTCAGGTGTTGATCTAACGGATTTCAACGAGTTATTAAAATTGTATTGATTAGTAGTACCTACATCATAAAAATACGCTTCAAAAACAACTTTGGTGCCTACTTAAAAACTAAACTTTACGTCTAATAAATGTTTACGACCTCGTCAAACAGGTGACATAATTAGGTTAGTAGGTAGTTAAAAGCTTTGACTCCGTTAAATTAAATACCTACTTTTTAAACGCACCACCAATTTATTCACTTTTTTTTTTAATTTTGTGGGTAGTTCCAATCATTTAAACTAATCTCAAAATCATAATCTGGAACGCAACCTTTCTTGTATAAATTTGAATTTGATCACATTCACATCCTCAATGGAATACGTAAATAAAAATATTTTAGAGGTTCGTTAATTTACCGTTCGGAAATTGTACTGAATTTTAAGAGTTGCCAGGAAAGAATCGTAAAAGTAGGTAAGCACTCAGTTATATTATTTTTAATAGCAGTTCTAGTTTTTTTTTCTACATTAAAGTAAACTTAAATTGTGCCATTGTTCACGACTGACGACGCTACTGTATTAATTAATATTAATATTATATTTAATGTTCATATAAACCGTTAGTCTTAACAAACTAACTTTTTATTTGAAATGTTTAGCGTTTACGGTAGAAAAAAAAGTAATTACAGCTAGGTATACATATACATAGATATTTGGTTCGTGCTCCTTGGGGAGGCCGATGATGATGATGATACAGATAGAAAATCCTAATCTCATTCATAGATCCTGTTTCGTATTCAGAACAGTCAGGATGAACGACATATTCAGTACTTACTCGTATATACCTATCTCATCCCATGTTCTCAATTTTTAGTGTTCTACTTTATATCTCAGCGATTTGTCTATAGTCAACATAAAAAAAAAAAGGAAACATCAAACCGTTGAATCAATTATAGCTACGATAGGAAAGGCTCTTTAAATTCTTCAATAAACAAACTGTAGGACAAAAATACTAAAATATTTGCTTTTAACTATCGTAAGTAGTTTAACTCACATCGTTTCTTTATAAACTTCGATTAGTTATGACCTACAGGTTAATTTATAAGCACTAATTGTTGCTGATACACTCCATTTATTGTATTCTTTATTTATTTTGCTACTTGTGTACCAATACTAAAGTAAGGATGAAGTTTTCGCATGTTTGGTCTCCGTAATCTCAAGGTTCCGAGTTTCCTTTGCCTTCTTTAAAAAGTAGGGGTGGTCACTCATTATTATTCGTACTCACATGCAACTGAGAATATTCTCAACGAAACACGATTCAAATATAAAAAAAAAAAATTCGGACATTGACACACAACGCCATCTAGTTTCAAACTAAACAGAGCTTGTAAAATGAAAGCTAGATTGACTTACAGAATACTTTAATACTATTTTTTTTAAATACATACATATTATAGGTACATAGAAACTCTGAAAGAAATATTAACAGATCATACAAACATTTAGTCCGACCCTAGAATCGAACTCGAGACCTTAGTTATGGCACCACCGAGGCAGTGAAGTCGTTATTAAATTATAAGAAATTAACTTTTAAATAAGTAATTGATTACAGAATGTTTAGTGTTTCCACTTATTATTAGCCGGTAGTTTTTAGTAGACAGCCCCCTCCATAGAAATAAATCGCAAGTAGAAGCCCTGGGTACAAAGTTTTAAGATCTAATCTAATTCAATTCTTATCAACTGTCTTCGTGCCGAATTTAACGTATGATTCAATCCTTTTATTTAAGTCGTCGTATAAGATATAAAAGAACTAACCTCAAAAATATGACCTAAACAGATAAAAGTTTTGCTAGATTTTTCTGCGATAGGACGATTTCGAGGTATTTGACACAATACGTGACAATTAGAAGCCCTTACAACAAAAACTCTTTGTTGATGACACAAAACTGTCAATCTAGATTTTTTTTTAAATAATCATCTGTAGTCTGCTAAACATAACAAATATTAAGTTTTATCTCTTTCCATACTAAGTTTACACAGACGTGCGATCAGACACACACACACAAACTCAGTAGTACCTACCCGCACACCACATACGAGTAGTTACTCTTTCTTTATGATTTTAACGCTTGTTAATAATATTATTTGCTACTATTTGATAAATATTGCGTTGTTTATAACTTCAGAGTTAAATGTATAGTATGTGACATCAGTATCATAAATCCAAGTACCATAAGTCATATAAAAATATTTAGTTTTGCCGACGGAGTGAAAGAATCTCATTGATGTCCTTCGTCATTACGAAGGGTTCTGTCGACTGATTAAAAAATCCCTGATGTAACTTTGCTTGTCTATGATCGGTCATGAGCCAGGTTATATCCATATACTTAAAATACAATTGTGCCTAACTCAAAAAAGTAATACTCAGATACACGAGCAAAAACAAAAATGTATTTTTTTTCATATGCTTAACAAGAAAATAAATTGATTGTAAGGATTTTCTTGAAATTTGGTATAGAGACAAGTTGTCACTTGTGTGACAGGTACACATAGATGTAAGTAACCGGACCTGCATAGGGCACGCCGCTATAGAGGCGGTAAGACCCGTCTTACGAGAGTGGCTGGAGAGGAAATACGCAGCTCTCACCTTCCGGATGACGCAGGTGCTTTCCACGGATACGGATGCTTTGGAAAGTACCTGTGTCGGATCGGCCAGGAACCGGGTGGGTTTTAGACGGTAAGAGTCCGACAGACCCCTTTGCCCTCCCCCATAGGGCAAGGACATCCATGAGTATCTTCCACCCCGTTAACAAAAAAAAAGCGGATCTGCGTGCCAAATTGAAGCAACTTATTTCATAAGTCTAACAAACGCCGTTCCGTAGGTCTTTATTCATACAATTTTTAATACACAGTCATATTAACGATAACAATTCCTAGTAAAAAGTAAATTTAAAAAAACAAATCAATTTCTATAGCATTTTTTTAAGAAACTTGGACAGCTTTCACTAAATATTTCAATGTTTTGTGCAATAATGACAATAGGTACTATCGGGGTCACTTTTACGCATGCATGAACATGATTCATTTCAAAAACTATTCCACCTAATTGTGGCGTTACTATTGTATCTAAAGTATACTTGTGTTTACGTGCCGTCATCGGGAACCAATTATCTGTTGTAGTTTACTTTAAGTTAACTGTTAACTTATTATCAGTGCAAACGAGCAGACTGGTCACCTGATGGTAAGCAACTACCGCCGCCCATGGACACCTGCAACTCAAAAGTCACAAGTGCGTTGCCGCCCTTGTCCTATAGTCCTACTCGCTCGAGTCAGCGGGAGGGACCTAATAATAATACGGGTATAGTAACTGATACTGACTGACTGTGCTATGAAACAAATATTTTTAAATTTTCAAACATTGGTATACATTGAAATAATATACACGTAATATACATTACATGATTCACATTACTAAATATCTCTTACAGAATGTTATTTAATTTATACAAATATTATATAACTAAGGTGGTTAGTAAGACTTCACGGAATAATGAATGGAGTAAAGTAATTGAGACTCAGATATCATACAGTTCGATACACGACATTTTACTTTTAAGAGATGAAGAAACATAACTCCTTTTACGAGAGCCTTCTCTTTCTTACAATAAAACTCCTGCTGGTAAGTAAGATCACTAATTATAGGCACAGATAGTTATTGGCCACCACCAGACAGGCCTTCGTAGATACTTGTTTTTCACCTTAATGGTCTATAAAATGTCTTGAATTAACATTTAGGTGATTGCAACTTAACTTTTATAAGATAATAGTAGCATTCAGGTAGTTGAAATTACTAAAAATACACAAGCCATTTCATTAACTAGTAATGCTGTACTTGTTGTTTATCTAGTTGGTATTATCTGAAACCATTTACCAAAAACATATGCTTAGAATGTCGTTATTCATACTTATAGAACGAGATAGACATACGATTTACCGTACGGGCGAACAAGATGTAGAACCTCCAGTCAAACTAAGCCTAGTTCTATAAAATAATAAGTCTGCCGTAGACATTAGTGATAATTTTCGGTTTAAACAAATAATTTGTGAGGCGGTGAAGCACCTGTGACAACAATGTGTTGATGATAAGTAACCCTGTTGAGGCCCGGTACTCACAGTATTTCTTTTCACAAACAATGTAGGGCCGATCAACTCGGAGCTATTCTATACCAAATGTCAATGTACCACCAATGAGTAACCTTAAAATGACAAGTTGTCTCCATCATCGTCAACGCTACCTAAACCTGACAATGAGTTCAGTAAAAAAAAAACAGTGTCAAACTCTATGGGTTTTCTATTAACAAGAATAATGGGGAATAATTTGGATTTCATCGTGAACGTTTAACCTTGAGTTATGAACTTTGACCTTGAGCAAAATAGATTGTGAATTTAAAATGTAATATTACCATAAAAAGAAGAGTCTAGAAAGAGTAGAAGTAAAAGGGTTGACTCATGCCAAAATCATACTGACTTGACTATGGCGTAATCCAATAAATGATAACGAAAACAGAAGCATTGTGATTCCTCATTATGTTTTCGTCCTTTACACCGTATTAAGAAAGTCCATTTTCCAAATGCGTTAAATTGATACGACATACGTCGTTGTCCAAACATTTTATAATTCTATCTTTACATAGATAGATAGATAACTCTTTATTGTACAAAAACATATTAGTAGTACAGTTTTTATAAATTTGTATAAGTCTTATGATCTAAGGACAGGTACACAAATAAAGTAAAACTAAATATGTAATAAAAAATAGGTGTACAATTGGCGGCCCTGTCGCGCTTTTTTGATCAAACCGCTGTATGGAGATCAATGTTGAGATGGGGAGCAGTCTATCTTTGAGCAGTTAGCTAGGAATGTTTTTTATGTTTAATTTGATTTTATTGGAGTGCCAATCGTTTCCATGTGTATATATAAAAAAAATCTACTGCTTCATGAGCTAATAAACCATGTGTAAATAATTAACTTGAACTCCTTCTACGTTTCAAGGTCAAAAAACTAAAATAATAAAAAGTAAGTAAACATAATAACATATGCGTATGTTTTGTGCTCAGTGACGTATGATACTTAAATTAAACACAAAACAACCAAATTTGGTCAAACATGACACAATGTCAAAGCCAAGGCTAAATCATATACCAAACCATACTAATAATGCAGTTCAGAAACAAATTTTCATTGAAATATGTACCTTAAACCCATGTATTAAGGATAGACAACAGGAAATCAAAGGACTGCTTCATGCTTCATAATAATCAGGAAATGTCAAAACCTCAAGTGGCGTGGTTCAGACAATTATCTTGACAAATGCTCCACTAACGAAGCGGACTGACGCGCGCCATGTTAGATGCGCGTACGCAAGGTGACACGAAGCGAATAGGACGTTAATGATCGATACAATAAACGCTAACACGATTTGCTATGTAGTTTGTTTCTTTTATGTTTATATGTAAAGAAAGTTTTGCTTGAGATAGTAAAAGGGTCTCAGATTAGCTGTTAATCAATAATAATGACCTAAGTAGCTAGCTTAATGGAAAAGTTTTCATTTAAGACTTTATAATGGCTGCAGTATTTTATTAGTTTTAATGGACCAGCGTTCATTTTCCAGTCTCGTGACAGCTTTCCTACCCATAACACGACTGCTAGTGGTCGTTATGGTACTTCATTCTACTGTTTTTCTGCAGTTGTGTTGGCAGTTAAAACTGCAGCCAAGATAAACTGCATGCCTGAAGGCACATTCCAGTGGTTAAACCTGATAGGTATTTTAGCTAGATATCCTGGTAGAAAACATTAGTCTACGTGCCCGCTCGTATTTATGACTATTGCCTTTTTCGTTACTGTCCAAGATTTCCTGGTTTTTGTTTGTATTGAAGACTGGGAACCATTCGTTTAAGGAAGAACCAAAATATTAATGGAAAAGAATTTTAAAGGAAGAAAAGGATTTTAAAATCCTTAGTTACGAGTTTTCCTTCTCTTTGCAGTGCTCTTGTCCTGCAGAATTTGCTCGCTTAGTCGGCTCTTACGACAACGTCGACGGACATGGTGACACTCCGTAGTCTTAATCCGTCACCACACCGATTAATGTTACGGATTTTAAAGTTCAGCTGACAGTTACCAACAATCATAAGATCTACATAGCTTTTGTCAATAGCGGACATATTTATTGCAAATATTGAATGAATTTTATTTATGAATGAATTTAATCATTATTTACTATGAGTACTTTATATTGATATGTATAACTTGACAAATGAATGTTATCCATTTTGTGCCGGCTTCATCTAATCGCAGAACAAACTTTGACATAATGTTTGCTCTATGATAATGTTATCAGTTCATTTATAAAATGTTAACGGATACGCGTGTTCGACTATATAAAGGCTTGTTTATTTTTATCAAGGTTTTAATGTATAGGGTATTACGATAAGTCATGAGGATACAAGTTAAATATTATTGAAGACGTCCACACGTGTTTTTCCCGGCAATTTTGCTAACTTCACACCGGACAGGTTGTACAACAGCACAATGCGAACTGTTGCATCATTCGGATGCTACAAACCTACACGCATAGTTTCTTTTCATGACATAGATGGAAAACGCAACGATGGGTCACCTGATGAAAAGTACTAATACTAATATTGTACCTCATTCACACAACGCCATCTAGTCCCAAACTAAGCAGAGTTTGTACTATGGGTACTACTGATATAAATACTAAATGTACATTTTATTTGTAAATACATACATATTATAGGTACATAGAAACGCCCAAACCAAACATTAAATGTTCATGCACACAAATATTTGACTTGTGGAATAGCAGTCCGTTACACAAACCACTACGCCATCCGGTAGTCGTGACTTCCAACGCCCTTGGAACATAGCAGCTCAAGATGCATAAGTGCTCTTTGTGTTCCCCCTCTAGAGTTAGGGTGGGATCAGGTAACCTTACTCACTCAGTGAAAACAAAAGACCGAAGTTCATCATCATCAACATTAACAGCCTTTAATAGTTCACTGCTGGACATAGGTCTCTCCTTAGCAACAAATTTTTGGCTTACTATAACACGCTGACCAGATGAGTTGGTAAAGTTTTCCTTCTCTTTGAAATCACAAGACGGAAGTGGAACACAATTTATTATAAAATTATTCCACATTTCATTTTCCTAACATAATGTCATTGATCATTACAAACTATAGAATGTTTAACGTCAATCGTAAGACAAGTCTAGAATGTTAATAATCAAATCAGCTGGTTGTTATCAATATTAAGTGTTGAGGTCTTGCCCTGCATCTAGTCATAGACTATTTTATTCAATGGGCCCGCCATCTTTTAAAACGGTATTTACGTCGAGGGTGCCAGTGCGGAAATAATTGCACCGATAAGATAAGGTAATTTCTAATTCTATCTATTTCTAAGTAATGTTTATGTAAATTAATTAGACTTTGTTGCCTTTTATGGCTAGATAAGTTCATCTTAGAAGACTTATTACGATATATTATTATTTGTTGTATCTTGTTGACAGGCTGGTACTATGAATTTGACACTAAGCTATGTTTTCGTCGGGTTTTCTATCCGTCCGGTACTTTTTTATGATCATATTAAGTATTTATGCACACGTTAATATATTTAGGCTGATGAATAAAATGACACCTGCAGTAGTAGTCGGACAGATACGACCTTTAAACTTTCAAGAAAAGACGTTCTCCCACCTCATGAGGTAGCAACGCAACTGTGACTCATGTGTTGGATTCCTTGGTGGATTGTTACTATTATTTAGGTGACTAGCTGAGACCCGCGGTGTTACCCGCGTTTGTTGTTATAACCGCGGGCAACGCCGCTGGGCGAAGCTAGTCTAAAAAAAGTAGCCTAAATTACTCCTTATGTCATCAGCTATCTGCCAGTGAAAGTCCCGTCGAAATCGGTCCAGCCGTTCCAGAGATTACCCGGAACAAACAGACAGACAGACAGACAGACAGACAAAAATGGTAAAAAATGTTATTTTGGCATATGTACCGTGTAAACATACATATGCATTTAGTAAAAAGCGGTTATTTTAATATTACAAACAGACACTCCAATTTTTGTTATTTGTATAGATATAAAAACCTTTAAGTATTGTTTATACGTAGCTTCTCGGAGGATTCTTTTTTAGGCTATCCCGCGTCCCCTGCAATAGATTCAGTTGTCGTTTTAGTCTTTTGTATCCGACATACCACTTCACCGACATAATATATCGAAGGACGCAGCGTGGGTAGCCCCCCCACAAGGTGATCCGACTATCTGGTGAACGTCACGGGAAGCTATTGGATGCGGGCAGCATAGGAACTGTTGTTGTAGCGAAGCTTGGGGAAGGTCTAGGTCCAGCAATGGACGTCTGTCGGCTGAGTTGATGATGATACTACTTTACCCTCGCCTCTGCTGAGTCGATTACCCCTGAGGGTCCCCACATGCAAAAAATGGCTTATCACATCATCACATCAACAGCCATTATTAGTCCACTACTGGACATAGGCCTCTCCTTAGAAAGAAGGTTTTGGTCTACTATACCATGCTGACCACACGGATTGGTAAAGGGTTTGTTTCAATTTTTCCTTTTCTTTGCGTTGCTGTTGTTCTGCGTAGTTTGCTCCCTTAGTCGGCTCTTATGACAACTACGTTATGAATAGGGGTGGTGACACTCCGTATTCTTAATCCCCCAGGAGGTCACCACAGCTTAATTGGCTTATAAATTGTGAAAATAGAAATATCGACACAAATTGACAGAGTAAACGCATGCACGTGTCTTATCATCAATGAGTAATAATGCTAACACTACTTATTAAATTCATGTTGAAATTACTTCCGAACATTGAAGTTAAAACAGATGTTTCTCAATAATATTTGAGTGTACCGTTGTTTTCGTGGTTATTTGAACAATAATTAGTATCTTTCGTCCGTAGGTTCGGCCGAGTTGGTCTCGGTCCGTTTGAGTAATGTGCTTTATATTTCTATTACTTTCGTCTATTCGATATTAGATAAGGATAGTAATAGAATAAGGTAATAGTTAACATCCTTCTATGTGTTTAATACAAAGTTAGGTAAGAAACACGACAAAGACGCAGAAAATATGGCCGTTGGGGTCGAATGCGCAGAGTGCAGCGTAGGACGTCCACCGACGAGATGACAATTGACCGTATAAAGATCACAGCTCAATGGTAGATTCATTTCGTTCATTTCAAGCATGCTTCTGAGAAGTCATTAACCCTATATCCAGCAGTGCAGCAGCAACAAATGTCTTGTCACTACTGACACCTGTCACTGTCACTTATGCCATGTCAACCCCTTTTTTTTTCGTGCGGAAATCCCCTCGGATACCACCTATCGGTGGCATGTCGGACTCGAACCGACTAAAACCGCACGCCGTCTCGGGTACTAATAGCCGGGGAACCAGGTATACCCTAGAAAGGAAGTCAATGGTGCAATGCCATGTCAACCCTGCCTTCTTATGGTACTCTGTCGACTCTCCTCACTGCTGCCTAAGCGGACTCTATGTAGAGGGATTGGAGTTATACCTTAATTTCTCTAACATAAATGTAATGTCAGTGAGAGGGTAATTCAGTACACGGTATGTAAATGTTTTACTTGTGTACAGTCCAACATACATTAGCGTTCAGTTCTACAACAAAACACCTCAACTGCACCGCCATTGAGAGCTGTTAACGGTCGATTTTATCGCACGCCTTATTGCTATATTTGTTTTTAGTACATCTGTTGCGACACAAATAGTCTTATATTCCCTCGATGTTAATGTTAATATAAATATTAGCATAAGTGAGGATATGGCTAGGAAGGAAGTAAACAGTAAGATGGCAAATGATGGAGTAGAATGGAAGAATAATACATACTGCACCGACCCCAAATAAAATTGGGATAAGGGTAGGTAGATGATAAATATTAGCATAAAAAACAGTTGTCTGAGAACCCATATTCACAGTAAGAAGTGTTATGACTGGTAGTCGTCTAAAAGTTGGCATCCTATCGTAATTTATTATTGATTGCCAAGTTAAAAAATATGATAATACTAAAGTTTTGTAAATAAAAACAAAAATAAAGAAAACAAAACTAATTAAGTAATGAGAGTTATTCGAATTCACCAAGTTTTAATATTGTTTAATACGAGTACAACAAGTGGCGGCAGTTAACGGGAACAACTTGTGACCCCAGTTTCCCCTTAACACTGAAGGGACAAATTTATAAAACTATTATCAGACCTGCCGTCCTGTATGGCTCTGAAAGTTGGCCCATTAAGATCACGGATGAGAGACGCCTGAACGTAGCCGAAATGCGAATGCTGAGATGGATGTGTGGTGTGACTCAGATGGACAAGGTTAGGAATGAGTATATACGAAGGAGTCTGAAAGTAGCGCCACTGGATGAAAAGTTAAGAAGTAATAGGTTATCTTGGTACGGACATGTCATGCGGAGGGATGAGGAAAATGTGGCGAAGAAAGTTTTAGGTATGAGAGTTGAAGGGTACAAGAGAAGGCACAGACCGAAGAAGAGGTGGATGGACTGCGTCAGGGAGGATATGGCTAGGAAGGGAGTAAACAGTGAGATGACGCATGACAGAGTAGAATGGAAAAATCATATATACTGCGCCGACCCCAAATAAAATTGGGAAAAGGGTAGGCAGATGATGAATACGAGTACAGCACGCACTATACATAAGATTTTTGACAGAAAATTGCTTTAAGTACCCATAATAATATACTTTGTCAGTTCCTTAATTTTCATTTTGATTCCTTCCTTTCA